GGAACTTCTTTTATCTCTATTCAATATAACGGATCATTGAACCTCGGAGATGATCTTTTAAGTGCCCTTTCTTCTTTGGAGTGTTTTTGAATTTGTATTTTGTATAAAATAGACTCATTGAGAGGTTGTGTATAAGGACGTTTGACTGAGCAACAGAAGAAGAACCTATTAAACTGAAGAGGCTGCATGTGAAAAGGATAAAATTACTAAAGATTAAAAAAACAAAAACATGAGAATTTCAGCCGGAATTAAGATTCAACCATTCAACATCTGAAATCTGACAGATGAACATTAGAATAGAAACATTAAAAGCTGTACAACGCTAGCTAAAATATTAAGCAAAGCAGCAGTTAGCTAGTTGAAAACTCTGGGAGAGATGTGTCAGAAAAGTGAAAACAAAACTGCTAGGAAATGAACATAATTTTGAAAATGACTCCAATAAGGCAGAAATATGGAAAAAAAAAAAAAAAAAACTTACGAAAAAATATTTAAGACTCCAATAAGGCAGAAATATGGAAAACAAAAAAAACCTACAAAAAAATAGGTTTTAAAAATTGCAAATAGCTGAAAAATTACAATAACAAATAAAGTTAGCCAGGTTAGCCATAGCATAGCAAAACCTGCAAAATGCCACCAAGGTTAGTGAAAAAAAATAACACACACTGTAAATGCCAATTCATAAAATAAGTCTAAATGTTTAAAATCAGTCAAGAAGTAGCTACATGTTAGCAAACTGCCTAAATTTGCTAAAAGTTATCCAAAAGTTACAAATTCTGAACACAAAGCCGTGGAAACCTTAGCACGATACGACCTGAACCACAGGAGTGAAATCAATGAGTGCTGCAGCAGCAGAGACTAATTGACCTGGAGGTGTCAACACCATCACACAGCCTGGTGAAATATGAAGAGCCGATGATTTACAGTCTAATGAGACCAGGCTTCGGCTGGAACAAAGTATTGACTTTCAATTCCGTCAGTTGTTTTGCCTCTTAAATGAGGCGACTGATGGCGGCGACAGTCGCTACAGTCACAGCGCTGTGACGTTGTGACAGGAATCCAGGCTGAGGATGAAATGACGTAACCGGCAGGACTGAGACTTTGTTCTTCTCAAAACAATCCTTCAACGTCTGCCTTCTCCATGTTTCATCATCAGCCCGCTGTCAGATGATCTGATTTGTCGGGGCTTTAGGTTTTTTTTTTTTTTCCTCTGCTGTCGTTTAATAATGTCTGGCTTTGTTAGCTCCTGACCGTGGTGATGTCCAAAGTCAGTCCCCCCCCCCCCCTCGTTCCCATCTTCTTCTCAGGCTAATTAAAGTCATTCTGCAGTAATATTCCTAAATCAAGTGTTTCCTCCAGCCTGAGTCTGACATAATTGGAAACATGTGCACTTCACCTGAAAGATTCTTTTTAACCCTGACTCTTCAAGAACTCATCTCTTTGTGACCTTTAATTTATTTTTTTTACCTCTTTCTCTCTCACAGATTGTTTTTCTTACTTTATTCGTGAAGAATGAAAAAAATGTGGAACTGTGCAAGTTTGACATTTCTTGCATTTATGAAGAATTTTTCAATTCTCCAATTTTAAGACCATCGTATTTCATTTTATTAAACTCTAAGATTTTTATTTGCTGAGGATGATGTAATGTCATTCTAACTTTCTAACATACAACGTTGGTAAGAATATTAGAATTAGGCAGACAGAGAACCAAAAAAAAAAAGTTAATATGTCACAAAAGTTAATATGTCACAAAAAAATACTAAAATCTGGAAGTCTGAAATACCAATCTGTACTGTACTGCAAATGTCAAAGGTCCCATAGAGAGTGGCCTCTGCTGGGTGGTAAGAGTACTACACACCAAGGTCGGGAGGAAGGGCATGTTTACTGGTCATAATAACAATAATGAATGTGTTGATGATTACAAATCGCTCTGGTCTGTGCTCATCTTAAGACGGAGAATCACAATCAGCCACCTGTCAGTGCGCCAACCGCTGGCTGAGCCACACGAGCATCTGTCCTGCCTCTGCACAGCTGCGGCATAATTAGGAAATCCATGTTTGCCTTTGTAATTGGAAGGGATTGTGGCGGTGTTTGCGAAATTAAAAGTCAGTGATGATTGTAAGGCGTCTAATTAGACTGGGGAGTTAAGTAGAGTCTGTAATACCGTCACACAAACACAATCAAAATCACACCCATAACCCCCCCCATCTCCCAAACTTGTCATGTCTGATGTCCTTCTGGGGTCACGTGTTTCCTGGACAACAGGATACCACAGTCTTATGTCTAATCCAATCCCACATCATGGTTATTCTGTGGTCTTAACCTATTTAGAATGCTGTTCGTCTCTCAGGAGTGATTGACCTAGTGTTCTTCAACCTCGGGGTCACGACTCTCTAGGGGGTCACCTAGAATTCAAATGGGACGGCCCTCAAATATTTAGTGATTTATTTTTAAAAATGACATTAGAAACTGACAAAGTGAAGTTGACACTGAAATACTGTAATATTTTCAATATTTAAAATCTTCACTGTGGCCGGTTTAAGAGGCTGATGGATTTCTACAGATTTTTAAAAAATATTTTCCAAAATATTTTAACATTTTCTGATCAACATGTTGAAGACGTAACAATTGGAAACACATGTGGCCATTTTTTTTTTTATGGCAAGTACAATTATTGCTCTGTGTCTCTCCTCACGATTTAACTCATATTTCCCTTTATTTGCTAAGAACCATATAATTTTATGGATCTCTGTTCTCATTTTTTTTTTTTTTGCAATCAAATGTTCCTGCCACAAGAGATAATGGTTTCACTCACTCTGTGTCTGGAATCATTACCTGATTTTGAAGCACTCAATGTTGTCAACAAAGAATATCTGCAATACACATGTAACAGACACTAAAAGTCAACTTGAATTAGGACAAAACTGGTACAAACTCTGGTCCCATAACCAACTTTTAAGCCACCAAATCCCTGACACCTCAAACCACTATACCATATTAAACATAGATATTAATGTTTATCTCTGGATACAAAAATATGGAAAAACAAACACGAGCACCGACAAAGACCAGCATCTTAGCTTCACTGTTAAAAGACGTGAAAGAAGCAAAGAACACATGAATCTAGGGTCGGGAACAAAACTCATGACTAATGTGATCGTCTGACTTCACATAAACTCCTGCTCTCACCCCAGTTATTTTCAGCTCTGTTCATAAACGTGGGCTGACGCTGATGTCATCCAGTAATTGTTAACAGACTCCCCGCGACGCAGCTTTAGCTTCAGGCTCTGAGCTGCAGAGATTGGCTGTTAAAGTGGAACAAAATGATACCATTTAATTCATCTCTGTTGGGTGGCCCTGATGGCCTCCAGAGTCACCAGTCTGTGTGGCGCTGTTTCAAGTTTAAAGAAGTGTGGTTTATAGGGCAATTCTAAAGGCTTTTATGTCACAGAAGGTTTAGATCCAGAGCACGCGCTGTCGTAGGAAGTTCGACAGAGTTGGATGTCGAGGGGACGAGGAAGTGATTCCTTATGCATTTTTTTTAAAAAAGCAACTAAATTTACTGAACATTAAAGATGACTTCACTGTCATCACTTTGTAAAACTTGCTTCAATTGGACCCACATCTGGCAGTTGGTCTATCAAGCAACAATATCTTTAACAAATAGAGAAAATAAATTAAAGAATGACGTGAAATTGCAATAAGCAAAAATTAGCTGAGAAATTGAAAAATAAGCTTAAAAAATGATTTGACTAGAAAACTAAAGAAAAATAAGTAGAGCGAAAGCAACAAAAGTAGTTACATGTCTATAACCTTGACTTTTAGATTTAAAAAAATTAAAGAAAAAGTTAGTAAAATAAAAATAAAATAGTAGCTTGAAAGATATGTGATGAACAAGCGTAAATATTCATTCAACAAGTCGGGCAAAATTAGCAAAGACATTAATTTTTTTAATATTAAAAAAAAACAAAACAGAAAAGGTTTCCCTGAAGCATATTTCATAGTTGCAAAAAGAAGTGACATTAAATGAATAAATGAACTCTTATTATACGAGTGCCACAATAGAGAGCAAGCCTGGTCTTTTTTACTGCATTTTTGATGAAAAATCACAACAAAATCAAATCCTTAAACATCCACCTTTCCTGCATTAGGAACAGGGAGGATTTCTTTGGCTCACACACTGCCCAAACATGGAAGGATAGTGGGGAGGGGAGGTATTACAAGACATAAACTTTTATTTCTCCATCTGTCCAGGGTTCTGTTTTAATCATTGGGATGTAAGGACAGCCTAACCTTATAGTAGGAGGAGAAACAATTCCCATGAGTTCCCATGGAACAATCATAGGAACCGCCACCACCATCATCAACATCAAAATTTGATCAAGTATAGTTTGCTTTGGCTGCACTCGCTGTACCACAACAACACAGAAACAGTCAAATCTCCAGAAATGCCTCTAATAACATGCACATGGTCGTGAAATATGATCCACAGCAGGAGAAAATCACTCAGTCATTTAGAGCATGAGTAAATCAGTGGAGGCTTAACACTAAGGCCAGGAACAAGTACAGTACACCACCAAAACATGGTCATGCTAAGTTAGCCAATGAGCATAGAGCTCTTTAAATACGCAAATACTGTACAGTATACAGTATGCAGTACTAAAAAAGCACGAAAGTTATCCACAAATGTCTTCTAACTGGTATTTATTCGAGATATTGCATTATAGAATCTTCTAGTCGTCTTCTTTTAGCACGTTAGCAAAGTTATTTTGACCTGAAATACCGGCGTAACAACAACACGACAACAAACATTTTAAATAACACTTCCCTGCTTATTATATGTTCAGCTTTGACATGATATCTTTCTTGTTGTCTTCTCGGTGATAAATTATGCAAATTTACCTTGAATATGGTCCACTTCAAGGGGCGTTCTGGTCGAACTTCTCCCCGACATCACTTCCGAG